AGGGTGAAATATTGTATACGACCTTTGGAAGCAAACTATAATGTCACTTTGCATACATTTCCAGAATATTAACTTAGAGGATAATACACACGCATACAGACAATGCATATACATACCATACTAGAGACCTGCACGAGTAAGTAAAAATTTAACACGTTAATAATCGCCGAGTATAAATATAAACGATGCAAATATTTGAATTTAGAAAGCATCGTTTGGCTTGGTAGAAAACGGATATTTTTTTCATATCATCATTTTCATATGAGACGTTTACGATGAGCGAAGTTCGATTTGAAATAATTACAGTGGCTCACAGCTTATTTCGTGCAGCTGCAAAATAAAACTTTTGAACCTTATAGAAGCAAAACTAACGGCGATATCAAAAATGTTTAGATACACAATTTTTATAAAAGTATTTTTTTTATTTAAACAAGAACTTCATTTTTATATTTTTTAAGTATTAGTGTTATTTATTTAACAAAAGTTTTTTGTATATATAAAATTAAGGTCACAGCTTATTTCGTACACTGCCATCACCTTTAGAAAAAGTTGTTTTGGAAAATGGTTTAGTATTTGGTATGGCCTCCCTTTTGTTTAATTACATCCTTAAGACGATTTTCCATCGAGGCAACAAGTTTTTGAGTAGTTTCGCGGGGGATCTTATACCATTCCTCGACCAGAGCAGTTTTTAAATCGCTAAGATTACTAATCTGCCTTTTCCGTATCGCCAAGTCCAAAATTGCCCACAAATTTTCAATGACGTTTAAGTCGGGAGATTGTGGGGGCGGATTCATCAGATGTGGACAGTTCCATATTAGCCATGATTGCACAATCCCCGATTTGTGTTTCGGGTCATTATCTTGATAATACCGGAAACGATCGCGTACACCCAAAGCATCGGCACTTTGCAACAAATTGTCTTTCAGAAGGTTTAAGTAGACATTTTTGTCCATCGTTCCATCAATAAAAACTATGTTACCAACTCCAGAGGCAGCCATGCAAGCCCAAACCATCACACTTCCCCCACCATGCTTTACAGTTGGCTTCAAGTTTGTATTTACTTTACGCCATACGTAACTCATGCCATCCGAACCAAAAATATTAAATTTGGACTCGTCAGCAAAAATGACGTCTTCCCAGAATGAAATTGGCTTTGTCACGTGGTCCTGGGCAAATTTAAGCCGACTTTGAATATTTTTTTCGATATGAACGGCTTTTTGCGAGCTACTCGGCCATTGAAGTCGTGTTCCCTCAGCACTCTACGCACGGTTTCGGCACAACATACTTTACCCATTTCATTCTCAATCTCTACCACCAATTTTGGAGCCGATATCTTCGGATTTTCTTTAATTTTCCGGACTATTTTCCTTTTGTCAGCATCTGTAAAAATTTTGTTTGGCGCATTTCTGCCCTTGTCCGCCACTCGATTCTCGCGCACAAATCGCTGTATGATATACTGGACTGTACTTGCACTCATTCCTACCATCTCAGCTATTTTCCGTTGGCTTTCTCCTCTTTTAAAATGATTCAAAACCAATTCTCGCTTTTCTAAACTTGTCCGTGGACCCATCTTTTAAAAACCTGGTATTACAATATTTTGATGCGCGATTAAATTAAATTAAACACAAATAAATAGAAGAAAGG